TGGGCAGAAGTGACTCTCCTGGTCACCCTGAACACTCACTCTGAAACCCAGACTGTCATGTTGTAAGGGAGCCCACACAAGCCTGTGAGACCCTGTAGCTGCAGGTGCAGCTTGCTCACAGCCAGCTCCAACTGGGCTGTCCTAGAAGTTGCAATTGTTAGATTTTTGCTACTTTGACTAAGGTAACTGAGAAGAGCTGCTTAGGAAAGGGGTTTTGTTTCAGTTTAAGATTTGGACATTCGTAATCTAAGGTTGGGCAGCCCCAACAACCTGGCATCTAATGACAAAATGTGTACAGAGGGGTGATCTTTTGATGAAAGAGGGAGGAGACAGACAGACAGAGAGAGGGAGAGAAATAGAGAGAGGGTTTGAGAGACAGAGACAGAGAAACTCAGGGAGCATGGTCTCCTTAAAGAACCAATCCTCTTCTGAGAAATGCCTTCCAAGGGACTCCAAAATTTGATCAAGTCTCCTCCCTTATTCTACCCTCATCAATTTGATGTTCATCCATTGACCGTGAATTTAAGACTTTGGGATTTAAAGATCTGCATGAGTGTAGGAAGCCAAATCCTTTTCAGACCAGAAGAGGAGTGGTTCTCTTTGTCTTCCTTAGCTAGTGGGGCAGAGTTGAAATAAGCATGAAACTGGTAGTTCTTAGAGGTGGTGTGTGTGTGTGTACACTGGCATGCATGCCTGCATATGTATTGTCAGGCTGAGTCCACAGCTAATTCTGTAGGGATTATGTCATTGAGTATGGCCCTTTATTCCAGGAAAAACCACGTGTGGGAGCTAGGTGACAACTAAAGCCAAGAGCCACTGAATCTCAAACAAGGATGTCCAAGCCTTGTGATACGGCTTCAGAAAGTTATCAGGAACTTGGAATGAAAAGATCAACTTATTTGGGGGCAAAAGCCTTGGAGAGCTATGCGGTTATTTCATCATGTGTGTTTTCCAGGGATGTTCGAAGACCGTTTGGAATTTCAAGGATGCTGTCCAGAGTGTGGACAATGGACTGTGAGGGTCAACTGCTCTCCTTGCTTGCTCCCAACTCGACCCCACCCTGCAGTGGTTGCTGTAGCCACAATTTTGAGGAACATTTTTTTTTGTTGTTTTTGCCAAGTTCAGAGCACTGCTCTTTTGTTTAATTCACCAGGTAACACTTGATCTCATTTCCAGACTGGGTTCCCCAACTCTGTGGAAATACCACGATCCTGCTGGCAAGCCAAGCAGGTCCTCTTTGTTATCCAGAGAGATCTTGTTTCCTATCTCCTCCAAGAGCAGTTGTCATTCTTGATTTTCTTTCGGAGACCCCAGCATCATTTTCTTGCCTTTCCTTTTGTGTGAGGGGACAGCTACCAGGAATGGTGGTGCAGCTTGTATAATATTAGTAAAGAAAAGTTTTTTTTTAAAAAAAATATATATAAATATTGAGCAATATTCTCCCAGCACGCAAGTCCCAGTTTGGATGGGAAAATATAAAGGCCTCTTGGAAGTTGTCTTAACTCTTGGAGATCTCCATGGTACCATTCCGTGAATGATTGGCTCTGGGCCATCAAGGGTACCCTAGTGGCCTGAAGGAGGCAATGCAGCCTCAAGCAGTGGCTGTCCCTGCCCTAGGAAGGAGTGGAGCCTTGGGATGTGTGGCTCCAAGTACAATTACTGCTCAACTCACAGCGGCCCCATTTGCTTTATTGTGGAGTGCCTCGTGGAATCCCTCTGCTCCAGGGACAATATGCTTGCTTCTGAGTCAACTGCTGGCAAATTGGTCTTCCTGGGGTTTGCCAGGGCAGGGGAGAGGCACCAGCATTTGTCAGAGAGACATTGTAGCAGAGTTCTGGGGCCCAAGGGAGGGAAATCATTTGCCCACAGAAATTCCCAGGCAGCAGGAATAGCCTTCTGTGGCCAGGGATTAAAGTGTGGGAGGAACATCTGGTCCTGAGGTGGTAGCTGGGAATGTTGTAACTGTGTTGGCAGAGGTGGCTGGAGACGGACAGGAGTGGTAATCAAGCAGCAAGGTTTGGTGAGGGGTGTGTCCCTGAGAAGGAATGGGCATCTCACCAGACTGAGAGGGAGAAGGTATCCAGACTGGGGCAAGCCAGGTGCCCAGGTCTAGTGGAGAGAAGACACTGGGCAGGCCTGACAGGCATCTCAGCAAAAGAACTGAGAACCAGTGTGCATCTCGACTGTGAGGTGGAGGGGAAGGGACTGAGGTGTCCTTTCTTCCACTCTTTTCTGTGGACCAAGGATTTGCTGTTTCTGGAGAGTGGTGAGGGCTTGTGGTGAGAACCTGTACGAGCACTGAAGGTCCGTGCTTGAGCCAGGACTGGGTCCAAGACCTGCACACAGGCGTGCCCATCAGGACTGTGTGCTGCAGGTTTCCTGACTGTTTTAGTCACTTGTCAAATATTTGTTGAAGACTTACTATGCTCCATGGGGTTTACTAATAATTTACCATCTTGATGATTTTTGCCAAGGTAAAAATACCCTGCTTCTTAACTTTTAACTTACGAAAGAAAGGGTCAGCTGTATCCAGTAAGAACTATTTTTTAAAGAATTATTTATTTTTATTGGAAAGACAGATATACACAGAGAAAGTACAACAGAAGGAAAGGTCTCTCATCCATTAGTTTACTCCCTGAATGGCTGCAACAGCTGGAGCTGAGCCAATCTGAGGCCAACAGCCAGGAGGCGGAAGCCTCCTCCGGATCTCCCATGAAGGTGCAGGGTCCCAAGGCTTTGGGCTGTTTTCTCTGCTTTCTCAGGCCACAAGCAGGGAGCTGGATGGGAAGTGGAGCAGCAAGCACACAAAGCAACACCCATATGGGATGCCAGCACTTGAAGGATTAGCCTGCTGAGCCATGGTGCCAGCCCCAAGAAATACAGTTTTCAGATAAACCAAAACCCGCCAGGTTCACATAGCAGAAGCCAATTCCTCCCCCTTCCAGTGGCAAGTTGGATTTGGGTCCCTCTTTCCTGGTCTGGATGTGAACATGTGTTAGACACAGACACACGCACTGGCAATATGGAATATGCTTGCACAGGTTTTAAGAGATTCATCCTCCAGGAGACTGTTCCAGCTGGCTCCTTCCGTTCAGCTCTTTCCTTCTGTTTCAGAGGTCCACTCTGTCCATGAAACCCAGAGGCCCGTGGTCACCCAGGTTTTCCCCTTTTGTCAGCCTTTTCATCTCTGACACCACAGAACGTATGAAATACCTGATGGAGCTTTCGTCTTGCATCTTCTGGCTCATTTGCTGTGTATCCTGTATAAACATCCACGGTTTCCTTGGTTCTTTGTTCTGTAGATCAATGGCTTGTCTTTTCTCTTACCCGTTCATAGGGGTCTGAATCCTGATCCTCATCTGTGGCTTGCTACTGCCCATTGCTGGTGTCTTTCAGTAAAGAGTGGACTTGAAAAGCTTTTGCTTCTTCTCATGGTGTCACAGCCAGAAAACACCATACACGTTGGGATTTTGATGCTCTCTCCCCTTTTCTAGATAGATGAATTTAGCTTAAAAAAAAAAAAAAAGAAGTGCAGGAAAGCCTTTGGGCAGGAGCTTAGCCACATGTGGTTGGGTGAGTGGGTGTTGAGTGGGTGGTGGCCCAGCACAATGGCAGCTTATGGGGGCTCCTGAGAACTAGCAGTGTGCAGAGCAGTTTTCCTCTCTGGCGGTCACTGGAGTGGTGGGCTAAGGGTAGCCATGCCTCTCTGACCTGGGTCTGGGTTAGGCGAACTTGACCTGTTCGCCCATCAGTAGGGGAAAGGACACCTGCCCAGTGACGCCAGTGAGATGCAGACATATACAAGATTTCTATGGTAACTGAGAGAGAATTCTGAAAGAGGTGTGCATTCCAGGTTGTGTTCTACCAGGTTGCATCCTAAGAAAGTGGAGGAAAATGATGAGCAGGTGTGGTAGAAATAGAGAAGGGACAGATAAGGAAATATTGAAGAAAATTGAAAGAGAAGACATTGAAATAGCATCCCGGACTAGGGAAGTCTTTTTTTTTTTTTTGGAAGCCAGAAAGCAAAAGGATAGACACTTGGTCTGGCCTGAAGTTCAGATATCTCTTGGTGAATTCAAATGCAGTGGATTGAAAGACAAAATGATGGTGCTCGCTTCAGCAGCACGCATACCAAAATCGGCATGATACAGAAAGATAAACTGACAACATTCAAAACAGCTTCACCTATGTCATAGATCAAAAGGTTAACTTTTTAAAAATCTACATGTAGAGATTGTCTTTTTTTTTTTAATAACTAAGAAAATAAGGATGTTTCTAACAGGTGAATAAACTGAGAAGAAAGACCTGTTGTTTGAGAAGCATGAAAGTGCTACCCACTCGACGATCAGCCCACTGCCATGGAGTTGAGGTGTCGTTTTTCCTCTCTGAGAGTTTTCATGAAACATGTGAGAGCAGGACCTGCTCACTGCCGGCTGGCTTGGAAAGGAACTGGCTCTCTGCCACGTTGCCCACAGAGTCTAGCGTGTTGCCCTTGACCGGGGGGGTGTATGATCACACAAACCCAAAGCATGAAGGAGACAAAGTGCATTCTTTAGGTAGCATATCTCTCTCCGAATTTATCAGTAAGACATAACCGAGCAAGTGAAATGAAGGTGTTTTTTGCCAGCTTTGAGAACTGTATGAGAAACGAGGCAGTGAGATAAAGGGGTTGATTTTGGGGTTAAGGAGAGGAGGAAAAGGTGGGAGGAGATGGAGGGAGGGCCTGCTTGGAACTTCCGTGAGGACACTGGGGGGTCATTGACCAATACAAGGTGGAGCAGGCCTGGGGAAGGGGTGGGGTCGGGTACTGTGTGCTCAACCTCCCAGAACAGCAGGAAACTCCTGAATGTGGAGGCGTTGGTGTGAGGACAATGGCTGGGCTGTGAGAGCAGGGCTCCTTTGGGTGCCTCTGGGCTTGGGTGCACAAGGAGGCAACAGAGGCGTTCTCATGTCCTGCTGGCATCACTCATGACTCTGGCCTCTGTGTGCTTGCTCTGCAGGCCTGGGAACACTCAGTGGGCATCATCTGCTTCCCCAGTCTCCAAAGGCTGGCAGAAGACGTCTCCGACCAGCTTGCCCAGGAGATACAGAACGCCCTGGCTGGGAAGCCTGCAGGTAAGGGAGCTCACAGGGAGGAAGCGGCTGCGTGGGCCCCCCACCCCCAAGTCTCTCTGAGCCCCGCTCTGCTTTCTCCTGGAGTTCAGATCCAGCATGCCAAACAGCATGGTCCCCACTCTGCCTCTGAGAGCCTGAGGGCCGAGGCAGAGGCAGGGGAGGAGGCCAGGGCTGGAGAACACTGCTGCTCCTAAGTCACACACAAGTCCAGATGTACGTGCGGATACACACGCACTGCACACACAGACACTGCACACTCACAGATGTGCACTGCACACTTACAGTTATGAAGACACAGAAACTACCCTCACACTTACGTATGCAAAACAGACACACTGCACACATCAAGCAACGTACAGAGCCCACCGACTCTGCAGACACACAAAACTCACAGACACACCATCAGGTCTGGGATCTCTGGGCAGGAGAACTAGCATCAGAGGCACCTGCTGCTCAGTGGCCTGTGGGCTAGCACCCAGATCTTACTACTAAATAGGCAGGTTGGTACCACCCAGGCTACCCTTCAAGGGGCCGGAGGACAAAATGTTTGGCTCTGATTCAGGTGGACTTGGTGGGGTTGGGTGTGCGCGGGCAGGAGGAGCCTGCTGCTGATGCTTTGGCACCTGCCATGGGGACCGAGGGAAGATGGGCTCACTCCTGACAGGTGACACTATTTTCTTCCCAGAACAGGCACGGGTTGCTGCTGGGCAGCTGCTGCGATGGAAGGATGACGTAGGGCAGGATGGGTACCTGCTGCTGAAGTCAGCATATGTGCTCACGGGGACAGACTCGGTGAGTTCTGGGGCCGCTGCCAGCCCTCGCCCATGGGCAGGGGGAAGTCCCCAGTGTCTTTCTTTTCCTGAACCTGGTGGGGTGCCTTGTCTCCCCAAGGCTCCGCTTCTGCCGCACGTCATGTACGTCAGAACAGAATGGCACTTAGCGCCAGGGTCAGGGAGCCAGACAGGGCAGTGCTGTCCCCAGGGAAGGGGTGGCATGTGGCTAGATCTGGAGCTGTGATGGCAGCACGGCCTGCAACTTGCCGCTTGGGCAGGAGTGGAGCCTGGGTTCAGAAGCCAGTTGAAGGGAGGACCTCTGGACCTTCCTACCATGTGGACTGCCTGAACTATGGTCAGACACACAGCCTGCAGCCCTGAGCCAAGGCCTGCCTGTCCCCTGGGGATGACCCCTTCCAGGACCCATGGTGACAAATGATCCCCCAGGGGCTTATTTTCCAACAACAGAGCAGCCATAGGGAGGGTGGGGAGGGTGTCTGTGCAGTAACCAGGGAGAGCTGTGCTGAGGAGGTCATGGCCAAGCCAGATGAAGACAGCAAGATGTCTTGGAACTGGAAAACCTCTAGGGGGAAGGTCAAACCCAGCCTCCTGCCTTGTATTCCCAGTTCTTCCTTTTTCTCTACCCGCGTGCTTGCTATGGGGGCCAACTGGATGGGAGGTGGCATGGACAGCATCCTGCATTGAGCCAACACGTTTTCCTGTCTGTTTTATACACACGTGCTTATATTCACGCGCATACACACACACACACAGGTCACAGCCACAGTCACCTGGGTGAAGCTGTTGGAACAACTGCCCCAGAACTGCCCCAGAGCTGCTCCACCAGGCTGGGGTCCATGCTCTAGGCCTTTCTCTGACACCTGGGTGTTACTGGCCACCTGCTGGATGAGATTGGGATCTGAATCTGAGGATGGAGAGGGCAGTGCTGAAAGCTTTGTTGCTGCTGCCCCAGACACACACTGCCTGCCTCCCTTGCTCATCTGGGGTTCTTCCTGAGCTGCTCTCTTCCCAACTTCTCCCTCCCTTGCTGCCCTAACTCACTGAGAGTTAACAGTTACCAAACACACCTGGGCGACCCTTGCGTGAACCGGATCTTCACAGGCACCGTGGCCATGTCTGTTGAGTGTGTACACCTCACGCTCGAGAACGCGGAGCCAGAGGAGACAGGAAGGGACTTGTCCATTGAATGTGACCTCCCCCAGCCCCTGCCACCTGTCGTCCCGGGTTACAGGGTGTGTTCCTCCCTTGCAGGAGTCCCTGGGCAGAGTGGCTGAGTCTGGGCTTCCAGCCCTGCTGCTGCGCTGTCTTTACCTCTTCTTCGTCTTTCCTCTGGAAAAGGAGGAGTCTTCTGATGGTGACGTGCAAGTCCAGAGGATGTTTGTGCAGGTGAGTGACAGCAGAAGGAGGGGGAGGAGAAGGGAGGGGCTGTGTGGGACCAGTGACAGATTATCTGAGCCACAAGTCAGAGAGTGTGGACTAGGTGGAGGGGCCGGAGAGATTGGGGAGTGGGATTCTCAAGTAAGGCGCCAGGTTACTTCTGATTGGTGGATAACCGGAAAGGCACACATTTCGCCAGCTGTGAGGAAGGGGAATCTGGAAATGAAGCAGGGTCCAAGATGGGATGTTAGAATCATTCCTCACATCCTGTCTCTCATTTCCCCCCTGGCCAACGGTACAGGGGCTGTGGGCTTTTACTCTGTGTATGCAGGACCTAAGGGAGGGTCTCAAACCTGGCAGATGCTGGTGAGCCCTCGGTGACCTCCCAAGCACAACTGGCCATCGTCTTCACGCACTCATCAATGTCCACTTCAGACTAATTCTGAAGCTGAATCATCATTTCCACATGATCTGGAAGATTCCATTGAGGCAGGCTTTGCCCTGAGCTGCTTTCTTGAGCCCTAGCAGCCTTTTAGCATCTATAAGTGAATTCCAAGTGGTGACCTGGAGACTGCCCTGAGCTCGTCTTTACCACATGACTTGAACCGAGGGCAGCTCCGCCTTCAAGGCCCTTGGGACAGAGTGTGCCTGTTCCTCTAAGGGCCCTCCCTACTCAATCCTACAAGGAGTGTTTACACAAGCTCCTTCAGTGCAGAGCTCCATGCGCACCGCTGGGTACTGCTGCAATTGAAATAGCTCAATTCCTAGAGGTGACAGAGGAGGGAGGCATCCCAAAAATACAACACATAATTACCATTTTTTAAAGGCTTGATTTATTTGAAAGGCAGCTATCCACTGGATCACTCTGCAGATGCCTGCATTGGCCATGGTATGACCATGGTGTGGCCAGGAGCCAGGAACTCCATCTGATTTCCTTTTCTTTTCTTTAGATTTTATTTATTTCTTATTGGAAAGGCAGATTTACAGAGAGAAGGAAAGACAGAGGGAAAGACCTTCCATCCGCTGGTTCACTCCCTAAGCAGCTGCCACATCTGGAGCTGAGCCAATCTGAAGCCAGGAGCCAGGAGCTTCTTCCGGGTTTCCCTTGTAGGGGCAGGGTCCCAAGGCTTTGGGCTGTCCTCTACTGCTTTCTCAGGTCACAAGCAGGGAACTGGATGGGAAGCAGGGCCATGAATCGGGACATGAACCGGTGCCCATATGGGATCCTGGTGCATGTAAAGTGAGGATTTAGCCACTAGACCATCGTGCCAGGGCCTTCTCCATCTGATCTCCTGCACAGACAGGAAGGACCCAAGCACTTGAGCCATCATCGACTGCCTTCCTCCTGGAAGCATTAGCAGGAAGCCGAGTCAGAAGCAGAGCAGCTGGGACTTCTATTAGCACTCTGATTTGGGATGTAGGCATCCCACATGGTGGCCTCCCTTGCTGCACTGCCACGCTTGCCCCCGATTTTTAAAGTGAGGTGAGCAGATAGTGTGACATGCGCTAGGAAATGATCCTGAGGAAACACGGGTCATGCCCTGAGGACTTGCATCGAACAGAGCTGCGGGTCTACAGGGCTCAGAGAAGGTGGCAGTGAGTGGGGAGCAGAAGGGACAGGAGCAGAGCAGTAGTCATCCAGGCCCAGCACTTGGTCACGTGACCACACCATCCTGCAAGGGAGCCTGGGAGTGGGAGCTGTAACCCCGGCACACAGCTGCCAGCTTTGGCAGTTGGCCAGAAGGGTCTGAAGCAAGGAGAGAGCTCACGACATTCACCCAACTGGAAGCAGGTCCCGTTGGAAGCCCAGGACCCCAAGGCAAGGTTCACCCATGCCAGACCCCCTCAACACAGGCAAGGGTATTTGGTTTTTATCCTAAGTGCACAAGAAGCTATGGGAAGCTCTTTTACTAGCATGGGGAGATCCTGGGCTGACAGGACCAGGGAATCCAGTTAGGAAAACCCTCAGAGAACTTGTGGTTTGGGTACCAGCCCAGAATTCCGGGACTGCTCCTTTTACGTAGTGCATAAAATGACTCTGTGCCTTCCTGATTGGTGGCATTTTCTGTGGTTCCACATAAAGCCACACCAAGGCTGTGTTCCTGGGATTCAGAAAGGGTCACAGTTACTTGTCTGGTGATTATGCAGGCTGGTCCTCGGCTGCCACCAACTCCTTAGTGGCTCGGTTGGCACGGGGGTGTCCCATCTACTTCATCGCTCCCTGCTGACCCCCTTCACCAGGGCTCCCGAGGAGGAGGGATCACTCACTCCTTGCAGGACCAATCTCCCTGACCAGCTGTTCTCTCTCCAGATGCTGCTGAACATCTGCGGCGACCCCCGGGGCTTGGAGGGGCTGGTCTCAGGCAGCGAGCTGCAGTCTCTGCTGATCGCCACCACCTGCCTTCGGGAGCACAGCTGCTGCTTCTGGAAAGAGCCCACCTTCTGCGTGCTGAGGGCCATCTCCCAGGCCCAGAACCTTAGCATCATCCAGCACCTCAAGGGTAGGCCATGGGGCCATGCCCAGGAGGCCCGGAGTCAAGGCCAAAGGCCTCTTTTCTATAGCACTTTATCTCTGAGCCTCTGTGCATTTCAGGAACCAAGGGAATGATCATGAACAGCTGGGTCCAGCACAGGACCCTGTGTGGGCAGCAGGGAACCCCTTTTGTGAATGCTGTACTGGAGGGAGAGACGGGAAAAAAGGGGAACCATTTCCTGTGCCACATCTATTAAAGGGCCACTGGGCACATGTTTTTTTGGGTACAGATTAATGCCCTCATCCGGGTGTGCCCTCCAGCTCTTGCCCTCACAGCTGAGTGGCCTTAGGTGTTTCCTGCCTGAGTGCCTCGGTGCTCTCGCCTGGGCATAAGAGCCCTTTGCTGCCGTCCTTGGCCCGTGGCGATTCTGCAATGAGTCAAGCATACACACTGCATCTGACATCCACCTGCTCAGTCAGCAGTCCACCCTGGGGGACACACAGTCCACCCCTTGTGACAACCCCACCAGAGGGTGTCTTTTGGGGACATTTAGGTGGACTGATGGTCTGAGCCCATCACTATGACAGGTTCAGCGCGCCTGCCCCGGGGTCTGCTTCCCATCCTGACTGTAATTACAGTCCCAACGACGTCGCAAGTGCCAGGGCCGGGGTCAGGCTGTGCCCAAGTCTTTCCCAGCAAGTGAAGGGCTGGGAAGGAGAGGTTGTAGGCATGGGCCCTGGATGTGATCTTGGTCTCAGCTTGCCTAAGGCCACAGTTAGATCAGAAATATCCCCTAACTCCCCCCAGTGGGGAACTTGTTGGGAGGACAGTTGGGAGGGCAGCAGGGCTAGCTCAGCGCATCCTGGTCAGATCAGCAATTCTGGGGCTGCCTGGCCAGGGGTCAGGTGCGCAGACATCAACCTGCTGAGAGGCTGGGAGCTCATTAGGCCAGGAGCCTGCCCAATCCACTATAGCGCTGCGGCCCATGATCCAGTAGACCAAGTTATGCATTCATTCTCATTCGTGCCTCCATGTGCAGTTTAATGCGGAGGTGGGCGTGGGGGAGGTGGGGTACCCCAAAGCTGACATTTCAGAACTCAGCACGGCTGTGCCTCCCCCGCAGCCACAGACTGCGTCCGGCTCTCGCTGCAGAACCTCTCGCGCCTAGTGGACACCCTCCCAGCGCCAGAGGCCAGCGAGGCTGTCAGCCTGATCCTGGGCTTCGTGAAGGACGCCTACCCTGTCTCCTCGGCTCTGCTGCTGGAGTTCGAGAACGCCGAGGGCTACCCCCTGCTGCTTAAAGTGCTATTGCGGTAAGGGGCGGGGCCTGGCGGGTGGGGTGAGGTCTGTAAGGGGCGGGGACTGATGGGTGGGGAGGAGTCAGTAAAAGGCAGGGCCTGGTGGGGTGGGGAGGAGTCTGAGGGGCGGGGCCTGACTGTGGGCGGAGTCCGTGGGAGGCTGGCTGGGTGGGGAGGAGGGGTACAGGAGCTGCCTGGGTCCCTGGGTGCTGGGCGTTGCTCAGAAGGAAGATGGGCGCTGTGGTGTCTGCAAGTCTTGCATAGAGGAAGCTCTCGAGAGCGTGGCGAGAGACCTTGTGTTTGCTGGTGTCTTGGTACCGTGGCCAGATACTCGAGAAAGCTCACGTCCTGAAGACAAGAGCTTTGTTCCCCTTGCAGCCCCATTGCTTTGTCCCTGGCAAGAATGGGGGAGCTTGGAGAGTGGGTAGAGGGAGAACTCTGACAGTCGGGAAGCAGACAGAGCAGCCGGCCTGACTCAGGCTTTAGTTGTAACCTTACAACCCACTGCCTCACCAATGCCACCTATGAGGAACCTGCTCCAGGTAACTTCAGGGCATCCCACTGGGCCCCCTCTTTGTCTCATTAACTTTTTTAAAAATAGATTTTATTTATTTTAAAGGCAGAGTTAGGGATTAGAGAGAGAGAGATATCTTCAATGCACCTGTTCACTCTCCAACTGGTTGCAATGGCTGGAGAGGGTCTGAAACCAGGAGCCAGAATTTTCATCTGGGTCTGCACATGGGTGCAGGGGCTCAAGCACTGGGGCCATCTTCTGCTGCTTTGCAAGGTACCAGGGAGCTGGATTAGAAACAGAGAACCCGGGGATTGAACTGGCGTCCGTATGAGATGCAGGCATCCCAGGCACTGGCCTCACTCACTATGCTGAAGCACCAACCCTGGTCTTATCAACTTAGGATTTCAGGATTTAAACAGGTGTATTGAGAGCCAAATCTTCCTCAAACCACAGCAGACTCCTTATTGCTGTCCAGTGTGTGGGGACCCCTGCCTTGGCGAATGAAGGGGCGATCCTCACCACAGCAAACCCACAGTGTGGAATGTGCCCCCTGTGTGCCCGTTGGCTGGGTTCCTCCAGTCAGGATCCACACGCCAGCTTTGGAGAGTTTCCTGGAGCTGCTGCAAGCTGTGTCGCCCACATCCTTACAGACATGGAAGCATCTGGGGCTCCATAAGCCCTGCTTCTTCCCAACCGGGCTGCTCTTGATCTTGACCAATGGGAGCTGCTTGGGTGACTCCGCCCCTCAGTGCTGCCTCTGAGTCCTGAGAGCCAGGTGCCCCAGAGGCACTCACCCTGTAATGTTCTCAGACCAGCTTCCTGTCCCTCCCGGTCTCCCACAGCCTCTACCCTACTGGCGTTTAAAAAAATATATTTATTTATTTTTATTGGAAAGTTAGATATACAGAGAGGAGAGACAGAGAGGAAGATCTTCCATCTGATGATTCACTCCTTAAATGGCTGCAATAGGCGGAGCTGAGCCAATCTGAGGCCAGGAGCTAGGAGCTTCTTCTGGGTCTCCGACGCAGGAGCAGGGTCCCAAGGCCTTGGACCATCCTGGACTGCTTTCGCAGGCCACAAGCAGGGAGCTGGATGGGAAGCGGGGCCGTAAACTGGGACATGAACCGGTGCCCATATGGGATCCTGGGGCGTGCAAGGCGAAGATTTTAGCCGCTAGGTTACTGTGCCAGGCTCCCTAATGACATTTTTTGGGACCAACTCCCAATTGGGCTCCTTTTCTCTCAGACAGTAGAAAGCTTAAACAAAGACGCCATTGGCTGAGTCTGGTTTCCTACACTCCGCCTACTTTTTCATCCTCACTTTGGATCTAGGGACTGGAGTGGTCTGGGGGTAGATACCCAGGAAATACCCTGATGGCGGCCGATGAAAGCAGTGTGCTCCAGGGAGTGGCAGGAAGGACCTGTTTGCAGTCCCCACTCACTCATGTAATTCTGAAGCAGCAGAACTGGTGGTACGGAGTGCACCGTATAAAAGACCACCGAAGCCAATTTAGAATTTGGGGAATCTTTATTAGCCAGCTGGCGACTGCCCCCACTCAGAACAGGTCTGAGGGAGACAGCCCTAATGTGTCAGGGCAGTGAGATTTTAAAAGAAAAAAAAACCCACGTCCTGGTAGCCTTGACCCTGGTTGGCAAGCAAGGGTACAGAAGCTACAATAAGCAGGTTAGAGCCAAGATGAGCAATTCTGTAGTTATAATTACAGTTTAACTTCTTGGAAATTGGTTCCACTTTTCATGGGGCTCAGTTCCCAGGACCTGGTTCCTCCCTAGGGGAGGAGGGTCAGTCTAACCCAACTGGTGACTGCAGAATACACTCACTCTGTAAATTTTCACCCTGTCACTCTGGGAGGGGCTTGAGGGGCCCTGTTGCAACAGGAAGCAAGGCAGATCCTCTACTGTGAGCAGCTGAAAGCTAAGCAACCTCAATGTCAAGTGCACGAACGGGCCTAGAAGCACCCGTGCTCTCCCGCCCTCCCGTGCTGCTTCTCTCTGAGAATACAAAGTGCCTCCTTTGGGCGGTATCCTTGCTGTGCTGGAGCCTGAGACGGGTACATTTTTTGATGTGTTAGGGGGAAGATAGGGGGAGTCCAGCCATGGAAAGCAGACTTCCTGGAGCAGGTGCTGCAGCTAGTCACAAACGCCTCCCTCCCTCTCCCCACCACCTTTCCCATTAGGACAATTCCTAAAATAGTCAGTGCCCGCCCGAAACCCTGAATTGCCCAAGGCTGGCCCGAGGCTGTGATCTGCAAAAGCAGTGGTGTTTAGCTAGGGCCCTCGGCCCTTGCCCTGTTGGTGCTGACATGTCTTGCCCCTGGGGTCTTTCCTACCGTGGCAGAGCTGCACTGTTTGTGCAGAGCTGCAGAGAGCCAGCCTCACCTGTCCCCACAGGTATGACAGGCAGGCACCAGGCGATGCGGACCCCCACCTGGAGGAGCTCGTGGGTCTGGTGGTGTGGCTGACGACCTGCGGGAGGTCGGAGCTCAAGGTGTTTGACAGCGTCACTTACCCGCAACTCGAAGGCTTCAAGTTCAATCACGAGGAGTCAGGTGGGTGCTACTATGTCTCTGAAAGAGCGGGAGGCTACAGAGGCTACAGGGGCCATCCTGTAGTTGTGCACCTGCCAATGCTGCCGAGAGTCTGATTCTGGTGTCATCTTGGCGGACAAACCCTGTGGCTCTTACGGGCTCCCTTGCACGTTTTTTCTCAGATGTGACTACGAGGGGGTTTGGTTCCTGCAGAACAGAGAAGAAACATTGCTTTAATAAGGCAAAGGCTCCCACATAACAGAAGAGGCCTTTGGCACCACCCCCACCTGTGTTGTGACTTTAACTTGGTCCCATTTGCTTGCATAATGGGGATCTGGAGCAGTCACTCGGCAGTCAGGGTCTGTGACATCTCAGTACCTGGGGATAGTGATGGATTGGTTGATGGACTGAAACAGTAGGCACGATGCTCTGGGCACACGGCAGGCTCTCTGCCCCATGCTGAGGTGCCCCTGTGAACCGACCAGGGGTCTGTCACACGTGCACTGAGCCATAGTCTGCTGCAGAAGTGGATGGCAAATGCTTCAGACTATGATATGAGGTGGGGCAGTCAGGAAACCCTGTGCCGTGGGGCTGGCTGCAGGGTCTTTTAAGGACCCGGTGACACTGTGCCTAGTTCTAGCTTTATTCACACTCTCTATGAAGTCACTTAACTGATCAAGAATTGACACTTTTCTTAGGGTCTTAAAAAAACATTCATTTCTTCTTCTTTTTTGTTTTGTTTTGAAAGGCAAATTTACAGAGAGTCAAAGAGAGGCAGAGAGATCTTGTTTGTGCTGGCTCACTCCCCACAAGGCCACAATGGCCGGAGCTGGGCTGGTCTGAAGCCAGGACCCTGGAGTTTCTTTAGGGCCTTTCATGTGGGTGCAGGAGCCCCAGGGTTTGGGCCATCTTTTGCTAATTTCTCAGGCACATTAGCAGGGAACTGGATTGGATGTGGAACTGACTCCACTTGAACTGGCTCCCTTATGGGATGCGACGCTGAAGGTGGAAGTTGAACCTACCATGCCACAATGCTGACTCCCCACCACCATTTTTTTTTTTTTAAATTTTTGAGAAGCAGAGAGACAAATAGTTTCCATCCACTGGTCCACTCCCCAGTGGATGCCAAAGCTGGGAGCCAGGGTCTCAATCCTGGTCTCCTGCAGGGGTGACAAGAGCCTTGAGTCCTTGCTGTTTCCTCCTGGGGGTCCTGGAGGGAATTCTGAGGGCTCAAGCTGGATTGTGCAGGTGGAGGGAAGGGGGTCGGGTGCTCTCTCCAGCATAGGTAGCCTGGAGAAGACCCAGTGGCCCAGCGGAGGGAAACAGCTGGGCAAATTAAGCAGTAAAGGTGCTGTGAAGGTGACAGAGAGGTGGCAGAGCTGTAGGGACCATGTGCAGAGTACAAGGGCGTGGGGCACTCAGGGCAGGGGTGAGGTTGGGGCAGGTGAGAGGGTAGGAGCAGGGAGCTTGCTGAGCAAGTGGCTGTCTCCTGGGCGACAGAGAATGGGACTTAACCTGTGAGCTGGAGGGAGGGCCTGGGAAGGTTCTGGAAAGAGGATTTATTTCCCAGTTTGTCAAGGAATGAAGCTGACTTGGCCTGGTCCTCTTCAACTGCATTTGATTTGAACCAATGGAGTCTGACTCTGCTAGCCCTGAGTTGTCCGAGGGAAACACGAAGCAAGCCATGCAATGTACTTTCAAAAATTATTTATTTTTATTTAAAAGGTAGATTTTACAGAGAGAGGAGAGATAAGAGAGGGATATTCCATCTGTTGGCTCCCCAAATGGCTGCAATGGCCAGAAGTGAGCTGATCTGAAGCTGGGGAACAGGAGCTTCTTCATGATCTCCCACCCAAACGCTTGGGTCATCCTCCCTTGCCTTTTCAGGCCATAAGCAGAGAGCTGGATTGAAAATGGAGCAACCAGGACATGAATTGGCACCCGTATGGGATGCCAGCCCCACAGGTAGAGGATTAGCTGGCTATGCCACTGTACAGTCCCAAACAATGCACTTTTAAATAGTAAGAAAACACAGGTTAAACTTATTTCGGGGCATGCATTTTTATTTCACTTAATCTATTCCAAATATTACCATCTCTACTTGTGGTCCATAGAAACGACCATTAGTAAGGTCTGATTCATCCTTTCCCCATTCATCCACTCGCAGCGTAGCTCAATCCACAGCTGCCACAGCTGGAGAACCGTGTCTCAGATGATGTGTTCCAGCTTGCCTCACAACCAGTGTGGGCTGGCTTTCCTGCATTTCAGATAGATAATGCGCGTGTGGGAGCAGGAAAATGGGACTCTCAATGACACACATCTCAATGAGAACCCAAGCTCCTGTTGCTAGATGTGGGCGGAGACGTGATTGTTCTTGTGTCCATCTTCAGGGGTGACCGTTAAGAATCTCCAGGCCTTCCAAGTCCTGCAGAATGTGTTCCACAAAGCCAGTGACTCTGTCCTCTGTATGCAAGTTCTGTCGGCCATCAGGACCATGTGGGCCTGGAACTCCCGCAACTTCTTTCTGCTGGAGTGGACGCTGCAGCCCATCTCGCAGTTTGTGGAGATCGTGCCCCAGAAACCAGCTCCGGTGCAAGTGCAGTTCTTCCAGCTGCTGGAGGCCTTGGTGTTTGAGCTACACTACGTGCCGCACGAGATCCTGCGGAAGGTGCAGCGTCTGATCAAGGAGAGCCCCGTGCCGTCCTGTACCCTCGTGGCCCTACAGAGTGTTCTCCGGATTGCGGGCAGGGATTTGCTCTTCACTGACATCTTCCGCGACTCGGGGCTCCTGGGCCTGTTGCTGGCGCAGCTGCGGAAGCAAGCCAAGATCATGAGGAAGTCAGGTGCAGGGCTGGTGCCCCCAGAGGCAGGTGGATGGGCGGTGGGGGGGGCCGGTGTTAGTCCTACCTGGTCGGTGTGCCAAGCTGGCTGTCCTCTCCCATGTCACAGGGTGCCGGAGTCAGGGGATGGTTTATCAGTGTTCTTGGGACACCCGACACACGAGGGGCAGTAGCCTTCCATTGTTCCCCTTGAAGAGCCCGGTGCAGCGTTGCATAGGCTTCCAGGGCTAACAGCCTGATGGACCCTTAGCACTCAGCATCTCCTACCCTGGACACTGTCTGGGTAGGTAGATGCTGACAGCAGGGGCTGCTGGGTCTTCAGGGATGCAGAGGGAAGCAGGAATACAGAGAGGCTGAGGATCCTGGGAACCCGACAGGTTCTGCTGGGAGTGAGCAGGTTTGGCTTTGTCCTCTGTGCCATTGAGCAAGTGGTTTCCTGTTGGGACAAGGGATACTCTGACTTTGCTGGCCAGGCTCTTTCTCTGTGTCTGGGTCCTATCTTTATGGGCCCTGTAACCCCTGGGCAATCAATGCTTCCTTGTCCCTGCCTCAACCCTTGCTCACTAGGATCTTGTCCAGGTCATGGACAGAGGCCCAGGAGTGGGGCTGCCTCATGGTCTCACCATGCCCCACCCTGCTTTCTTCCCTGCATGGTGCTTGTGCTATCTTGCGGATACAAAGGAAGATGTGAAAAGCTTCCCCTTCTCCTGACATCCTCTGCTTAGTCTGGCGCAGGACGTTGGGATGCTGGAAGCTGACCTCTCACCTCTCCCTACCTTTCTCTCCTTTTTTCGGTGTTCCCCATCCCCTCTATAGTCACCGATAAGAGCTAAGGACTGTAACCTTGACCTGCTTTGAGAATTCAGCCTTCAACGAAGGTCTGTGTCCTGGGCCTCTCAAAGAGGCAGACTGTGTAGGACAGACTGCCTTGGCTGGGGTTCTGGCTATGTTAGCTACAAGCTGAGCATTTCTGGGCAGGGGACCTCAGGTCTAGGGTAGGCCTGATTCCTGCTGTATGGAGCGAGGCTCATCATGTCTACATAATAAATGTTGGGAGACTGAAATGAGATGCTGAAAACACCTGCTCCTGGGCCTGGTGTGCAAGTTTGTCCCTACGGGGCTGCAGCTCTGGTGTTCCTACATGGCAGACTGAGAGACCCTACAGGGGGAACATGGGCCCAACGTGCTCCCCAGGGTGCTTGCCCTAGGGCCAGAGCTGCCCCAGGGGGCCTGGTACTGCTAGGTGCCTCTGCCCACCACTCAGCAGTGTCTTGCCTTTCCATGCTGTTGCCCTCTTTGCCTTCCTTGCTTGGCCCACGGAGAATTCTGTGCACTGCCTCCTCGACTACTGTCTCTGTGTTAGCTGGGGATGCTTTATCAGCTGCCCAACATCCACTTTGTTTCTCAGTCCTTTGAGCTGTTTGTGAGTGACTGCACCCAGGCTTCCTCCGTGCTTTCTGTTGTTAAATGTATCTTCTTGTTTCTTAGAGGCTTCATCCTCTAGTTAATAAACTCCACTTCTGTTCATTCCCCAAGCACACATTAGGCTTCTGATTTGTGTCAAGCATTTTCCTGGCACTGGGGAATCTGTTCAGAAGGCCTGGTTTTGTGCTCATGGGCCCAGTGAGCCTCCTCTTTACCCATAATCTCACTCTTAAAGATTTATTTAACTTTCAAAGTAGAGTTTTACACACACACACACACACACACACACACACACACACACACACACACAGATTCCCATTTGCTGGTTTCACTCCCCAAATGACCACACACCAGGCTGGAGCCAGGAGCCAGCAGCTTCTTCTGGGTCTCCTACATGGATGCAGGGGTGTAAGTACTTGGGCCATCTTCTGCTGCTTTTTCAGGTGCATTAGCAGGGCACTGGAGCATAAATGGAACGGCCAGAACTTGAACTAGTGCCCATATGGGATGTCATAGGCCACAGCTTAATTTACTGCACTACGATGCCAGCCATACCCCTAGAATCCTTTGAATCTCTCCACAGCTCTGGTGTGAGCTGGCGGTCCTCCCTCCCAAGTGTGAATGTCCCACTGGGAAAATGAAGCAGGGGGAACTCCATGTATCATTTCTCATTTATGGCAATGCTTCTCAAAGAATTATTCCCAGGCCAACCCAACAGTGTCCCCTGTATCTTGTTGGAAATGCAAGATATAGGATCTCCCCCAAGACATACGAAGGCAGAAGCTCTGGGATGGGGATCTGGATTTGAAAAACCCATCAGCCAGCAGCTGCTGCTGGGCTCATACTGGAGAAACCACAGCTGCGGGCACATGGTAGAGTTCTCTCACGACCTGGGATGGTGCATTGTCTCATGGTGGAAGCATTGAACTCACGTCTCCCCAAGAACCTAGACAACCTCCCCCGAGCCACAGGTTTAGGAGTCAGCCCACGACACTTCATGTTTGTTGTTGGTTCTTCAACATGGCAGGAAACAGAGAGTCCAGTCTTGGCATTCAGGATCCGGAACGAGAACTCACTTGTGTGATGCTGAACGTTGTGGTCGCACTTCTGAAAGGCTCTGTTCGGAACGCAGGTAAGGAGGCTCCAGTTTTGTCTTGCCTTTGCTTAGAAAGATATGGGCTCTTTCCTGGGGACCCGGAAGGCTGCTGCAAGGTTGGCTGCAAGGGATAGCCAGTACCACGCAGGGGCTAAGCTCCATTTGTTGGTGGATGCTCAGAGAACACCAGGACCTTGGTAGACACCTGAGGTGGTGCTGGTTACTTCGTCGTTGTCTTCTTTTTCTTCCTCTTTTTTTTTTAAATTGTAGATTTATTTTTTTATTGGAAAGTCAGCTATACAGAGAGGAGGAGAGAGGAGTATCTTCTGTTTGTTGATTTACGCCCCATGCGGCCACAATGGCTGGAGCCGAGACGATTCGAAGCCAGGATCCCAAAGTCTCTTCGGTCTTCCATGCAGGTGCAGGGTCCCAAAGCTTTGAGCCGTGCTCGACTGCTTTCCCAGGCCACAAGCAGGGAGCTGGATGGGAAGCAGGGCTGCCAGAACATGAACTGGCGCCCATGTGAGATCCCAGCACATGCAAGGCCAGGACTTTAGCCACTAGACTACTGCGCTGGGCCCAGTGCTGTTTACCTCTAAGACTGTTGAATCCAGTCAGAGAGCCAAGAGGCTATGCTCCAGCTAGTGTTGTCCAAATGCGTGAGACCAGATGGTCCCCTTCTGGTGTTTTCTAGCAAAATCTGTAGAGATCCCATTGCAATGACCATAATCCTTTCAGAAATTTAGATCCTAAGCAAAAGACATAGCAGAGCCAGCTAGTCATTTATAAGAAATGTAATTTGATGTACAGCCAGACCGCGCTGTCCTCAGAAGCTCCTTCCAGACAAAATGTTTCAATTTCCTGGGTCATGTGACTGTAAGGTTTTTAAAGAATTATGCATTATATATATACACACACACACATGTATCTGTGTATTATGTAGCAAACTTATCAGCAAAGCCATAGGGGTGGGCATGGGGATTTGGCCATCTTTATCTGAAGTTTCATAGATGAATTCTATCAAATGTCAAAGGTTGATCATTTCATGCTTGCAAAAGGAGCATGTCTACTTGTTTTCTGTAAGAATTGTGACAGGGGTTTGCAGGAAAAGCAAGGGAGAGGTAGATCTAGTCAAAACTTGACTGTACATGCGTCTTGAGAATATTTCTATTATCTTCTATGGAGAGATCTGTGTCAAAAGACTTAGTTTAAACAGGATTCTCAACTGAACTGTTTTTTTTTATTTTCCTCATCTCATTTAACCAAGGGTGAGGCTTACAGAGAACTTTAAGAAAAAGCTTTCCTTGAGATTAAAACTAAGGTGCTGAATCCCCCTCCCAGGACCCCTGCCCTTGCTCTGGCCCCACACTGTCCATCTGTCCCACAGTTGTCCTAAAGGACCATGGCATGGTGCCCTTCATCAAGATCTTCCTGGACGATGAGAGCTACCGGGCGGCTTCGCTCAGCATCTTGGAACAGCTGTCAGTCATCAACGCCGAGGAGTACATGAGCATCATCGTGGGTGCCCTGTGCTCATCCACTCAAGGGGAGCTGCAGCTGAAACTGGACCTGCTCAAGGTGAAGCCCAAGCCTCCTCTGGGATTGGCTTTCCCTTGGATAGGAACCAAGCATCCCACACTTGTCACCTGATTGGCCACTGCGTTGGATAACGACAGATCCTATCCCCCAATAGCTGGTCATGTTGGGGATTTCTTTCTGGTTTTTAGTTCATTCAATGATCTGAGATTGTCCCTGGGGACAGCTGTCACCTGGGCGTCTTACTCAGCCAGCAGATCAGAGGAGAGAGGCCAGGAGGAACTGCACAAGGCATTGTTTAAGTCCAGAACTGGCACGTACTAACTTCTACAGAACCCTGAATCTGAGCTACTTGTATGCAAGGAGTGATGGGAAATGCAGCCCTTCACTAGGCAGCTAGTTGACTTAATCAGGGTCTTTTGGGCATCTCGCAGTGGCTGGGTTTGATGCAGCAGAGCAAGACACAGCTTTTGGCGCTGGGAGCCCATAGACTTATGCTAATAGTGCGAACCAGGGTCTACTGTGGGAGTAGAAAACTAGGAGAGATTGTTGCTTTCTTTCCTGCTGGAGGGAGGCTCACAGAGGGGAGAATGGGAGAGCCAGAGAAGGAAACCAAGGGTGCTCAGATCTGTGGGACCACTGGGTGCAGAAGAACAAGTGAGATTAGGCTGTAGCATGTGAGTGACGGAGAAAAGTATATACTTCTGCAGGATTGTGAGTAATCATCAAAAGCCCTCAAAATACTCGACCGAATATAATGAATATCATCCCTCTCGTTCGCTCTGCCCTACATCAGTCACACTTTTAGAGATTCTCTGTACTTTGTGTTACACCATTTGAAGAAAGAGTGGCAGAAGGCCAACATCTTCCCGCAGGGAGCTTACTCTGGGACTTCTTGTGTGCAAAACGACTTGACTGCCCACAGCATATTTTTGTGGCATTGGCAAATCCCACGTATTGATGAGTTAGTGAAGCTCCAGGGCTGGCATGGTGTGTTATCAGGCTAATACTCTGCCTGCGGTGCCAGCATCCCATACAGTCACCCATTCAAGTCTGGGCTGCTCCACTTCTGATCCAGCTTCCTGCTAACATGCTTGGAAAAGCAGAGGAGGAAGGTCGAAGTCCTTGGACTCTTGTGCCCATGTGGGAGACATGGTGGAAACTCCTGACTCCTGGCTTCAGATCAGCCCAACTCTGACCATCGTGACCATTTAGGATGTAAACCAGTGGATGGAAGAATGTCTTTGTGTCTGTTTCTCCCCACCCTCTCTGTAACTCTGACTTGTGAGTAAAGTAAATAAATTTTTGCATAAGTAAAATTCCTCTGACTCCCCAGATTACATAACTATCAACCTAACTCACTTATTTGTCAATATCTCTGTTCAAATTGGTTTATACTATTTTTTTCTTTCTTTCATTTCTAAAAGATTATTTGTTTGAAAGGCAGAGTTACAGAGAGAAGAGAGAGAGAGATTCTTTCATCAACTGGTGCAATTCTTAGAGCTGAACGAGTTTTTTTAAGATTTATTTATTTTTATTACAAAGTCAGATATACAGAGAGAAGGAGAAACAGAGAGGAAGATCTTCTGTCCAATGATTCACTCCCCAAGTGACCACAATGGCCAGTGCTGTGCCGATCCGGAGCCAGGAGCCAGGAACTTCTTCCAGGTCTCCCACATGGGTGCAGGGTCCTAAGGCTTTGGGCCGTCCTCGACTGCTTTCCCAGGCCACAAGCAGGGAGCTGGATGGGAAGTGGAGCTTCCGGGATTAGAACCAGCACCCATATGGGATCCTAGCGTGTTCAAGGCGAGGACTTTAGCTGCTAGGCTACTGCGCCAGGCCCGAGCTGAATGAGTTTGAAGTTAGGATCCATGAAGCTTCTTCTCGGTCTTGCATGTGGGTTCAGCGGGGCAAGGATGTTTGCCATTTTCTGCTAATTTCCCAGGCCATTAGCTGGATCAAAAGTGGAGCAGCAGGTCTTGACATGGGATACTGGCATTGCAGTTAGTGGCTGAAACCAACTGGCCACAACACTGTCCCTGTTGTGGTTCAGTCTTCAAATAAAACACAGGTACTTCAAAAGTTAGTAGAAAGTAGAATGGACATAAGTTTATTTTGGTGCAAAAAAAAAAAAAAAAGAAAAGAAAAGAAATCTAGATTTACTTTTGCTATAACAAACTTCTGGTCTTAACAGATGAGTGTCCATAGAGATTTGTTGACTAACCTAGCATCCTACAGCCGGTAAGTGGCAAGGTGGAATTTCACTTGACCACGGCAGCTAAAAATCGAATGGTCTTTGCCACGTTCCCTGTAGCATCCCATATGTCTCCATTCAGTTTGATTTGTGCGTTTTGATCGGAGCAGGAATGCAGCACCGTGGTTATCAAGAATTGGGATTTTCAGGGGACCAGGAGCTGTTTCTGGCGTTGCCATGGTGAACATCAGAGAGACCCCAGAGAGGAAAGCTTTGCTTCGTGGGGAGGGAAGAAGCATTTTTGTGTTCAATATTGAGAAGAGTGTTCTGTGCTCCTGGAAAGTTGGTCTTGTTGACTCTGGAGCCCAGAGGCATTTTATTGGAGTGTCAGCCCTGGGGTAATAGGATTGTGCCTCCAGAATTAGCAGCGGAAGGCCATTATGGTGTTTTACAGATTCAATATCATTTCAGAGCCACACAATCAAGAGATCCCGTAAGGACGAATACTTGGAGAGCTTATTTAACAAAGTCATAGCTAGCTCCCATGGGCCATCTTCTCCCTGGATGCCAAGTCACAGCTGGGCAATGGAGAGGTCTGGGGGGTGGGCAGGCGGCTGCCACTGTCCCGTGGGAAGGGACGGTTGCCGCTGACTTACAGGAGGAATTGCAAATGCTGGCTGGGATCTGATGCCTGTGAGATCCCTTTAGCCCCCTTGGCTCTTTGGCAACAAAGATGTAAGACAAGCTGTTTCCGGCCGCATCTCTCATTTTAGATGTTCAGAGCTGCTCCTGCCTGCAGGTTTTGTGTTGACAAAATGGGTCCAATGTAGGAAGAGGGGGACACGTGGGAGTGAGGCAAGAAGAAATGGAGTCCCCCCGATCCCTGATAAAGGGTAACCATCCCAAATGATTGGCAGCCAGCACCCAGGGGTCTAGTTAACTGGATCACACTGTGGAGTCCCAGTGTCCCGTCCCCGTGCCAGCCACCTCTGGGGGAGACCAGCCAAGAACAGTCATTTCCCAAATCCAGTGGCACTTCCCCCCAACAACACAAAAGCGTATGAGACTTCACCTGCTAATTCTGGCAAATGATAACTGAGTTAAGGACTAATGTAAGCAAATGAATTTCCTCTCTGTGGCCAGGGGGACCGTGATTGGGTTATGCACAAATTCAGATTGATTTGCTAATATACATTTAGCTGTTCAACTCTAAGTTTAATCGTATTACCTCACCGGTCTTCCAGCATGACACATGGAAAATTATGAGGAATAACAAATAATAGAATGTGAAATAAATCCTGTTAGTTGTAACGTAGTTAGCGCTTTGCTGCAGGCATCCATTTTATAGATCCAAGCTAGAGGAATACTAACTCCGAGACGATGACATGCTAACTGAGTTAAGGACGAGCAAATGTGCTTAACGCTGACCTTTCTTGAAATGTGTCAACCCTAGCCTGATTACTTTGACTTCGGCTGATTGAATTTACTCCCTTCCGTGGACTCGAAGGCCTCGGTGATGCATTAGCAGGCAAAGTTGAATGACAGTAATGGAGACCCTCCTCCTAGGCTCTGGGTTCCTGACAAATCGCTTCCCGAAGTCGCCAAGTATTTATTTTCCTTTATGATAGAAATGTTTCTCTTTAGTTGCTATGAAATTAAGCCTTTGTAATTGGGTTTTGCACTCTTTACTTTATGACTCTGCAAATATGAGATTAACCCCATCCTAAGAAATAATAGAAGCAGTCTACGTTGTAATGAGATTACCCCCATTTTAGATAATGACTCTGAATTTAATAAATCAAACAAAGCAACAATTAAGGACAGCCATTCCCCCGCTCCTCCCCCGCCCCACAGGAGAAAAATGGCCGGCAAGGGATTACAAGTGGTGGACCCTCTGAGAGACGGGCCACAGTGAAGGCTGCTGCTGCTGGATTGCTTCTTTTCCTAACACAGGCCCCTAACTCTCCTAGAATGACAGCGTGGTTTTGCGCAGTGTCTGGCAGCAAGTTGGATAGTTAGATCCTAAAGCAAAGAGGAGGTTCAAGTTCATCGAGAGCTCAGACCATTGCTTACAGTCTCGTTATGTTTGGTTTTCCTGCCACTCCTGTTTCAGTATTTGTCTGGTCATGCGCCCCATCATTCACCCAACAGTTTTCATTCATTGCTTCCCCTCCACCTTCAACAAAGCTCGAAGGGCTTTTAGCCGCTAAACACAGGCACATGCATGGAGATGGCTTAACGTCCGCAAGCTCAAGATTTCCACAAGTGTTTGTGATTGTCTCATTTTTTGTCCTGTACATCCCATGATCAGGGGCAAGGTCAGGTTGAACAGGTGGGACGCCTGCGGGGCCCCTCACTGGCACGGAACCTTGTGTGTGATCAGTGGGGAGGAAGTGGCTGGAAGCGCCCACACCCATGTTGGGATCAGAATGTGTTTGTGGGGAGTAAGTTGCTCCATGAGGCTGCCACACCTTCACTGAGCCTGCCCCGCTTCTCTTGGCTGCAGGCAGGGTGAGGGGCCAGGTGGCCACAGGAGGCAGGCTTTGCTTAGTCTACACCACGAGCTTTCACACTTGTGGAGGGCCAACATTCTGGGAGAAACGTGCGCCAGCCATGGCCTTGCTTGTCATCTGCAAACATCGCTCTCTCCTGGACACTGAGAAGCTTCCAGACATTGTCAGGTCACATCCTTACCCAGGAGAAGAGCGTAGTGTCATTGGTAATTTTCAAAAATGTATTTCAGGGGCCAGTGTGGTTGTTCAACAGGCTAATCCTCCACCTGCAAGTGACAACATCCCACATGGGTGCTAGTTCTAGTCCTGGCTGGTCTAGTTCTAATGCAGCCCCCTGCTTATAGCCTGGGAAAGCATCAGAGGATGGCTCAGAGCCTTGGGACCTGGAAGAAACTCCTGGCTTCTATTCAGCTCAGCTGTAGCTATAGCAGCCATTTGGGGGGCTGAACCAGTGCATGAGAGCTTTTTCTTTCTGTTTCTCCTTCTCACTGAGGATCTGCATTTCAAATAAAAATAAATAAATCTTTTAAGACATGTATTTGAGAGGCAGAGATACACACGGGGAGAAAGAAAAGAAGAGGCAGAGAGAGACATGGCTATCTCCCAGCCACTGGTTCGCTCCCCAGATGCCTGCAGGCTGAGGCTAGGCCGGGAGGAATCTCCATCTGTGCCCTCCCTGTAGGTGGAAGGGGCCCATTTGTCTGGGCCGTTCTGCTGCCTCGCAGAGTCTGCCTGGGCGGGAACCTAGAGTCGGGAGCCTAACTGGAAACTGAATTTAGGTGGACAGCATCTATAGATAGGATCCAGACATCTTAACTACTAGGCCAAATGCCTGGCCCTACTTAATTTTTAACAACTGGGAAAAGATCAGTTTGAAGGATTTAGGTTGATCTATTTTAAACACATCTGAGGTCTTGTGTAGTTATTACAGTCTTTGCTGTTTGAACAATTTCTCCCCAGATGGTAGATGGGGCCATGGGAGTCTTTTTATAGCTCTGTGGCCACCTGAACTAGGTGACATTCACAGTTCACAATGATCCTGTGTTCTGCCTCCATTGTGCCGCTCATGGCTTACCAAGCAGCATGGGGTTCTTTTAAGACTGATTGGTTTGAAACGCAGAGCAACAGAGAGACAGAAGGAGCGACAGATACAAAGACCTTCCATCCACTGCTTCATTTCCCCCCAGTGACTGCAACAGCCTGGCCTGAGCCAGGCTTCATGTAGCCAGAATCCAGGCACTCCATCTGGGTCTCCCACATGGGTGGCAGGAGCCCAGCACTTGGGCCATCCCCTGCTGCCTTCCCAGGAGCATTTGCAGA